ACATAACAGAGTATACTGTTTCGCTCATGATTCCCCCCATGCGTTGCCATTCCTGAGGACTCAGGTGTTATTTCTCTGTACCCTGTAAATTCACTGTCATATCCCACCCTTCAAATCGAAACACAGCCATGCAAACACCGCTGCTTCACGATAGAAACACGAATAGGATAGAGGTGCCCAAGCTAACAACTTTTGTACAAAGTCTCCCTGTGGTAAATAGATATAAAGTATTTAATACACTCTCTGGAGTAGGTATTTAAATTATTTTTTTCTAAAAAATATAATAATATAAGATAATCTAAATATCTTCCATGTTCAAGAAAAAAATTACACAGTCAAAATATATTTTCAATATTAAATTAAAATAGGTACTTAAGTATAAGGATCCACTTTTTTGAAATTATTAGAAGTTTTGATTTATTTACTTTTCAGAGAAAATAATATTCCTGGGTTACTAACCTGATACACGCAAAAAATACTCCGGGTAGGTATTTAATAGGATGGTAATAAATCTACGCTTTTACTCACATTTTCTAGAGATACTTATTACGTCTCTTTCTGAAAGCTTTATATAAGACTAAAGGTAACTCGCGACGTTGCTCGCCTAATTTAGAATACAAAATATCCAATATACATATATATATATATATATATATATATATATATTATCATTTATGTTATCTTGATTTTTTTTGTATATGTATGTTGTAATTTGTGTGCTGTAAGTAATACAAATAAATTATCTATCTATCTATCTATCCAATGTGCATGTACGGAATAATATTAAAATCCGTTCAGTTACTTGATCTAATTAAATAACAAACACCTATCTCATTCTTACAATTTTTAAAATTTATAACATTAGTCCCGTAATCCTTATTAAAATTACTACAAATATAAACTAAAAATGGGAGACAGGCGGGATTGATATGTACGTATGTATGTATGAACTAAAAATAGAAATCTAATAAGGAAATAACCTAATATATTAAATAGAAAAGAAAATACTCTTTTGAAGCAAATCATAACACAAGCCACATTTTGTAAGGAAATAGGGCTATTTTTATAATATTACACTCTTATATTACATAGATAGAGTGTCTTCATACATGTGCTTCGAGAAAAGCAGGTCAACTTTTTCATAGAATTTTGCGTGATAAATAGTTATGAGTGATTCCTTTATATAACTTCTTTATTTATTTTGTCTCATAAATTCTGTACCTTTCTAATCACAAAAATAAATTTTATTTATTAAATTAAATATAGATACGTCATACATTGTGTGCGTAAATATATAGAATATAGAACATTAATTAAAAAAAAAGAGGAAAAAAGTTGACCCGTTTTTGAGGCTTGATGCTCTATATATATATATATATATATATATATATATATATATATATATATATATATATATATATATATATATATATAATCTAAGATTAGGCTATAATATATCACTGAGTACTAAGTAAAATGGTTGTATTTGTTGCTAGCAAATTCTGTGTTACGACATCAAGTTTCTTAACATTGATAGCGTTTTGTTTTTCTTTTTATTTTAAAAATTGGTACAAAGAAAACCAAGCCCCCCAATAGAAAGTGGTAACTGTACTCACTAGAGATAACAGAATCAATTAATATATGAACAGTACTATTGGCATCGAAATACACTGTGATGCCAATACTTTACCATTCCCGAGGACAAGGTGACATGCTACCATTCGGCAGTTTGAAAAGTTTTAGATTATAAATAAAGGTATTTCAAAGATAAAATCTATGCATACCGTTTCACACAGATTGTATTGAATTTTTAATTTCATTCATTCTAAAAGCTTATTACATAAATTTAATAAAAAATCAGTCAAAGACACTCCTAAGTTAGAGGGTCATAACTGTAATGAAATTTACTGTTATATTTAATTATATATATATATATATATATATATATATATATATATATATATATATATATATATATATATATATATATATATATATATATATATATATATATATATATATATATATATATATATATATATATAAAATGATTATATATATATATATATATAAAAGAAAAAAGTTAACGAGTGAGATAAATGCCAAATATTTATTGATATCTTATATATGGTATACAACTAAGTCTATAATTAATGTTGTAAATAATTTTTAAATAAATAAAGAAAACAATTGTTGAATTTTATTTTGTATAAATTCGTTTAAAATAAGTATTACTGTTATTTAACTTGTATTTGCACAAAATCTTTTTCTATACATAATGAAATCCAGTATAACTAGAAACAAAATATTTATTTATTATATCCATATTATATCATGTAGGAAGTTACGATATTATATATTTCTTCTCAAGAAATTCAATCTCTTTTGATAATTTACTTCGATTATACGTAAAAAGTCACAATACCTCACAAAATAAAATTGTGAATATATATTACTGAGTTCCTACTATTTGTCAGAATAGACTTTTCTATTGAAAGTAGAGGGTCTCATTTGTTAATGTATAAAAAATGTATTGGACTTCATAACTTCGAAATTATGCAAAATTTTCATTATGCCTCCGAATCTATTTATTAACTACTCGTCTCCATCCAAAGATTATCTGGAAGAAATCGTTTTAGCGATAAGGGCGCTCATGGTTTTCTCAGTGTGAACATTTTTTGTAACTATTTGTGTCTATTTGTTTACTACTATAATCTTTTGGAGGGTTTCCTCCAAAAGGTTATAGTAGTATAAATAATAAGTATCTATCTATCTAGAGAGTTAAAGACCCAAATTTTTTAATAACATAACCATTTGAAACCGTATTCATCAACTATAGACTCGCCATCACGATTTTATGACGTCATTAAAAAATCATTGTATATATTACAAATGTCATTTAGTCCCTAAAAACAAGGTTTACATGGATAATTAATAAAAATATTTAAATACTTTTTTAAACATGTACAACATACATAAAAAAACACTCAAACTAATATAAATAGACAAATGTTTGCATCCAATTTTTAAAATTATCTCGTCGATTTCTCAATTTACCTCGTAAAAGAACATACCTAACAGTCCTCAGGAATGGCAACGCATGGGAGGTATCATGGACGAAACAGTATACTCTGTTATGTCCATGGTACTGCTCATGTCTATAGGCGACGGTTATCACTTTCCATCAGGTGGACCGTCAGCTTGTTTGCCATTCTAAGTTGTATAAAAAAAATACATAAAAAAAAATCCAAACAAATATTTAAATAAAATTAAAAAAAAAACAGACAAAGACTGAAGTGAATAGATGTTTGAAAATATACTAAGAATAGTATTTGTAGTCCCGTCTATGACTAAAAGAATTTAAGAAACTAAACAACTGAAGACTTTAATGTAGAGATTTCTTAACCCAATTTTTTTACTTTTCTGTGCGATTATTCAAATATTTCTTTCACACAATCCTTCACACAATCCTTATCCAGACATACAACAATAAATGTATTACCTAAATAGGTATAAGCCTTATATACATTCTATATTTGATTTTAATTATATAGTTAGATTAGTTTAAACCCTAAGTCAGAGAATGGCATTTAGCCGAAATGGAAAACACCAACATATATAAATTCTTGGCAATTTTGTTGTATGGCCCGATTTCATCTTCACCTATTATTTACAACTGGTACCTTGCTAGCTCGGTAAAAGATAGATCGGTTTTCAAAACACGTATCGAGTTTTTATGTAACGACAATGAAAGAGATATATGTAACTATTACATAAAAAAAAGTTAGTAAGCGAAGGAAAAAGTATCAGAGAGATATTTCTAACAGGCTCAGTACTTGTAAATAAATTTCAAATGCAATTCAATATAATTTTTGGCAAACTTGTAATTCAATAAATTTCCGAAATTGAATAAATTTGTAATTTGGAAAATTTAAATTAAGTAAGTACTCTCAAATACTAATAAAAAAAATAAAACATTTATAGATGTAAATAATACCCATGATAACTAGTGTGTGCAAGACCCTAGTTACAGTTATACTATACTGAGTATAATTAAATGTTAATATTTTTTAATTTAAGAATTTTTTATTTAAAAAAATTGAACAAAGAATTTTTTTAATCTAGTCCAAATTACTGTTTATATATTCAATAACTTATTATCAACAAATATTATAGAGAAATCTATCATTTTCAAATAAATTGTCAATTTTTTTAATGGATTATCTTTATTAATGTTCCTTGTAGAATCAAATTAGTAATATGTACCTAATTAATTTATTCTTTATTTCATAATTAATTATTGTCATAAAAAATATTAAAAACTTATTAATCCATTGTTGGTAATAAGCTTCTCACCATAAAAGAAGAACATTAATCTTCTATTAGTCTTATAAAATTAACTAAATTATTCTAAATAATAATAGCATAGATATAACATCTTTATTATTTCTACAAATAACGCAAAAAAGAAAGACAAAGAACAATATCCTCATTTTAAAAATGTTACTGAAAGTCACTTTCATCAATCACTCACAACTAGCTAAAAAAGTGGAAAGTTGCAACGTCCCTTATTTTCCCTTGGAATTTATTTTTCTAGTTATCCAATAAAGGTTTCACGAAATTCATCTTCCCTAAATGTTCGGAGCTGCGAAAACTCGACCTCGGGTGTGCCAAAACATAATCCCACTAATTTACCTAAGAGTATTAACGCGTGCGAGAACTTTGAACTGCTAAGATGGGACAAAATACGTATAATACGAGCCAAAGGAAACCCCTGCATTATTTATAAGACCTTAAAACCCAATAGGAGTAGTTAACGCATACGTCAATTAAACAGTAGGTACTGCCGGTGAATAACGTTCACTTATTGTAGAATTTATTCCGTCGTTTTTTGGCTCTATTCAATTATTTATAAACTTTCGATCATTTTTTCTCATAGTACGAGTAAGTATAATATTTTTTTTATACTTGTGTTATTGTAATAAAATTTAATACTTTACCTTCACGCCGCTCAATACATCCTTTCGTCGCAACCGACTCACAAAACAATTATCACACGAAGCGTTATATAATGCAAACGGTCGCGTGCAATCACGTCAGGGTAGCAAAATGTCGACACAACACGACCACCCCTCACGAGGTTCTGAAGGATACTGATTCACATCAACGTCAACGGCTACAACGAAGAACGGTGTGAAATGCGCAAGTCACGTTTAACTTATACACCTACTTTTGAATTTCAAATTGTCATTTATTCTATTTTATTATACGGTACACATGTTGGGAGATGTTCATCTGAGATAAATTACTTATATAGTCTACGTATTTATAAGTTCTACGTAAAATGCCTCAAGGTCATAGCTCAATTTAAAAAATTACAACATTCGATGTAGATTTAAAAAAAGTATGAAACAATGGAATGTTTTTTTTTAATCTATTCATAAACTTTCTTTTAAATTCGCACTGGTTATTATTAGTAAGTTGAGTTATAGCATTTACTTTTTCTCGCTAAACTTTCTTCAATTTATTAAAGTTCTACGAAATGAAAATGCAATTCTGCGAAATTTTCTACATTTTCTGTGGAAAATTCTATATGACACTGTCATTTAATAAATAAGTAATTTGATTTATTTCTGGCTAATAGTAACGAATCTATAGTATTTATTTTAGGAAAAAATAAACCAGTTTCTTACACCAAATATTTGTAGAAAAAATATCTCTCTGAATACAAGTCTCTCTTTATAAGAGGAAAATATAAGGCCTACTTTTACTATACGAACTAGAGTGTTTATTTTATTATTATAATTTTTTTTTTTATTTTATACTCGTGTATCGTTCTTTATTCTTTTAATTGCCTCTAATAAGAGTAACATCCAAGCGAGGAAAAAATAAGATCCACTATTCTTACTTCTTCACCACCAGAGGTACCGTTATCTTCCTTCTTTAGATGGCTTCAGTTGGATTCGCTATTAGAACTAATGAGATTTCAGGTTTGATTATCGCTCAGACCATTTAGGAAACGAGTTTTTCTAGACGAACTTGGAAATATCTGTTTCAGGTTCCGTTCTTCTTATTGCACTCGATTCCTTACAAAAACCAGGCAATTCTTACAGTTTTTAATTAAAAAAAAATACTAAAAATTTCCTCTATTTTTTCTAATTGGTAAACAAAATTATTAACTTGAGAGTTAAGTGATTTTTTTAATAGTATGATTAACGTGAGTTAATGCTGAGTTTTAATAAATTCTCTTTTCAATTAGGCAAAACAAACATCATTTTATAAAATAATGCTTTTTGTGTAGTTTGCGTAATAGCAATTTGCGCAACATTTTCGTAATTAAAAGTAAAGTAAATGAAACTTTATAGTATAATTATTATGATTTAGTATTCAATTACACGATCGTTGAGTACTACTTGCGTAGCGGAGCTACGTAGTTACTTCGCAGTAATATTACACAAAATTAATAGCATAGGTGTATCAAAATAGGAGGAAATGGCATTCCGTGGTTTCTACATACACCAAAAGGGATAAGGTCTTAAATTTATGATAATAATAATACCTATAAGTTACACAAATAAATTTAACTGTTTCCATATGAGACACGTGGTTTATAAAATACGGAAATTAACGCGATCATTTAGATAAACTATGATAATTTAACTGGATTATCTCGACGTTTGGACCAGATTAAACCAGATTACTATCTCTTATACTATTAACCATATAACGCAAAATTCTAAATAGTTGATATGTGATATACATCAGTGCCTTCAGTTTTTGTCTGGGCACGACCCGCTACTTACTATGTAAAAATATTTTGCGACACCTTACCCTATGCGGTTCCTAACCTGCATGTATTTTATTCTACTCTATGTACCTAACGATTTTTAAACATCGTGCTACCTTCCAGTATTTATTATTATTGTACTCCTTAGCTTACTTTCAATTATAATAACACAATGTATCCTGTAAATAAATTATATGAAAGGCGAGCCGATATATGAAAAATACAGCTATCTTTCTAGCATACTAATAACTAAATATAAAACTGCATTGTAAATTAATAATAAATAAATAATAATAATTATATTATATTACAAATATCAAATTCGTATATTTATATTTATTTTCATAGTTCGAAATTGGTTAAATATGATAAATTAATAATGAAATACCTAAAACAGATATCGATTACCTTGTAGAGTCTTGGGGATCTTCCAAAGGGTCACGACCCAGAGTTTAAAAAACATTAATACATATTTATACATATTCTTTGTGTGCAATAAAATATAAATCAGTAAAGAAAAAGTTTATATAGAGCCTACTTAATATCTTGAACAAAATAAAACTGAGCAGAATACTGGTAGATAAATATACCAGTTTTCGTAGTCAAATCCAATTTGTTAGAAACCGAGAGAAAAAAAACTATTCCAAAAATGTACGCCCGTGCGCTTCCTAGCCATCTAATTAGCGAGGGATTTGCATAATTGTGATAAGAACAGGAAAGCAAATCTTCGCAAGGTAAACTCTGTTCGAAAATTAAAGCCAAGCTTATCTAATGATAGGTTACCACCTCTGATATCAAAACGCATAGCGAAAAAATTATAACAAACAAGCAAAGAAAAGATACCGAACGCGATATATAGTTTTGTGTAAAATAAAAATATGTATTATTCTTAAGACACTTTTATACTTTTTATTATACTAATTTGAAAACAATTGGATCTAATTTTTTTTTTATTTATCATCATTATATCAGCCGTTATCTATCTGTGGACAGATAGTCCACTGTTGAACATAAGCCTCCCCCATAACTGGCACGATAAGGAACGGTCCTGAGACATCCACTGACTCCATGCAATGCATTTGAAGCCGTCACTCTACACAAAGGCGTGTCATTTCACACTGCATTTGCCCGTACGTAGTCGCCAGTCAAGAACCTTTCTGTTCCTCATTGGTAGTCGATTCTTCGAGCTATGTGACCAGCATATTACTACTTCAGCCTGTTTATCTTTCGGGCTATGTCGGTCACATTGGTTCTTCTGCGGATATCTTTATTTCGGATTCTATAACGAAAAGAGACTCCGAGCATAGTCCTCTCTATAGATCACTAAGTGATTTGAAGTTTTATATATCGAACCTTTTGCGTACGAGCAGAAAATCAGCGTATTGTTTAATATAAATTAATGAAAAACATTTAGAAGTATATATGTATCTACAAATATTATAATAATTTTCGTTTTGTCGGAACGATCGTCACACGATACTTTCTCCAATTATGTACTGATTTTGATAATAATAGCTCGGTAATATAATCCTATAGGATAATTGAACCTAGAAATTTACGCGAATGAATTCACTGGAATAGCTGGCATAAAAATATAAGACATAAATAGATATTTTTTTAGTTCCAAGTGGGATAGGCACATAGATTTAAAATGCGGGTCGCATTAATAATTCCTTCGAGAGTTCTAATTATAAATATAACTATATGAAAACTAATGGGGAGATCGTTTACAGCCGACCAATAATTATTTAACGACTTCATTAAATATTTCACGGGAATGGACTTTCCAATACCATTTTGAGATGTACTAAAACCTAACCCAGAAGTGTAGTGAAATCCATTACAATATGTCTAAATAATTTACCACTAAACATACTTGTATATTCAGTCAAGTCAAAATAGGTAAAGAAGTGTATTTTCTAAACCTATTTCATCATACCTTTCCGTTTCAAATATACGGAAAAATTCTGTTGAAAAGTCCGAGCGAAACGTATTTGGTAGATAATTTAAATTTCTACTTGCTGTTCAAGACTCCTTCGAATGAAATATGTATTCGTGTACCAATAATCACGTACTTCTGCTGTAAGACACGTTAATAACTACAAGTATTAAAAAATAAAAGTAATAATAAATTATCGTTAATTTAAAATTTGTGTCGACTGTTTTTTATGTGTCAAATACATTTTAATCTATTTCTAATTTATTAATAAATATTGATATATTGCCATCCTCTCTCCTACTCTACATTCTTTATTTGCATATATTTGTTTATATCTTTCTACTGTGATAACATGTGTATACTAGGGATGAAAGGAATTATTAATAACATTATTAATACTTTCTTTCCCCTAGCCTAGGTCTAAAAGTCCAATTACTATCAATACCCATCCAAACGTCCGCGCGGCTCCCCCTGTAAACCATCGTGGTTAATTCTTGTTGAATTTGTCATGGCGGGGCGACTGCCCTGCATTCACCCTTATGTATCGTCCCTCTCTGGTAGCCCTTTAGTGTGTACTACGGGTAAGTATAGCAATACTATATTTTAGTTACAATATACAGGTCCAATATCGAATATATTCAAAATCTGTTATCCAAAAAATATAATATGATAAACAGATTTTTAATATACGCGAAAGTAGATATCCGACCCATATGGGTGATATCGAAATAGATGATGACCTTTTATCAGCCATCAATCTTCAGAGGAACCTGATATATAGACTCGTGTCCATATTATTCATGCCTAGTATACACCCACAGGGAAGACAAAGTTACTATTCCGTTTCGACCAATAAAAAAAAATATCTGCATTATATGTATTTAAATAAAGATTGTTGCATGAATTGTCTAAATGCATTATATCACATGTAGACATCGGTGATATAATAATATCGTATTACTAACAGTGAGACATAATGTAAATGCCAAAAGAATAAATGTAAATAAATATTTTTTTAAAACGCTGTTTTCTTTATTAAAATTAAGCTAAATATGATATTTACAATACAAAAAAATGTAGAATAATGTTGTTGAATGCTTAATGGTAATAGTATTTTTATATTTAACTACTAATGATATTTCAACAAACTTACATGTCGAGGGATGGACAGCAGTATTCATCTTAAAATATCAGCAAAACCTAACTGCGATCACCAACCCGCCTGTAAACGTGACAAACCCCTGTAGATGCAGATTTAAATCTTCGAATATTATTATTTTTATGTAGTCGAATTTTTTTACAAATAGCCACAAATTCCCAAAGAGTGTAGGCGTACAAAGTACTACGAATGCGAACAACCGAGGAAAAGAAATTTTTATTCCCTAACGGTTAGCCGCACTATGTTGACTCATCAA